CTCTCTGGCTTTCTGGCCCGTCTCCCCAGGGCCATGAGAGGGCACTATTCTCTGGCGCCTGTGCTTTCCCATCCTGCAGAGGTCAGGTTACCCCGGGACCACAGGAGGAGCCGTTCCTCACAGGCCTGGGTGCCCAGTGTAGAAAGGGTGTGGTTGTAAACTGTGAACCTCCTACAGAATGGGGACCTCCGCATGTGTAGGGACACTGAATGAACACACAAGGAGAAAGAGGGAAGAGGGAAAAAGGAAGACAAGAAAGAGAAAGGTGGCTTCTGCACATTTTATCTCTCTTGTTTGAAAATAATACCATCATCCGTCACATGGATTACTGCAGATGCCTCCTACCCTTCTTCCTGCGTGTGCACTTGCTGCCACCGCCTGCCGCCTTCAGTCTTGTCTCCTGAGTCTGAAGAACCTTAAAAATAAATTGATCAGTCTGTATCCAGGGGCTTCCTATTGCACTCAGAATAAAATCCAAATGCCATTTCCTGGTGTGCACAGCCCGACGGGGCAGGGTTCCTCAAGCCCATTCCAGCCCCAGGGGTTCGTACTTGCTGTCCCCTTTGCCTGGAATGTTCTTCCCCTTACTATTCACAAGGCCTGGCTTCTTCACTCCAAGCAGCTTCAATGTCACCTCCTCAGCGAGGAGTTCCTTGTCTGATCCATCTTCATTCTTCTCTGTCAACACCACTTATTTTGCATGCACAGCCCTTATCATCTTACATTTTTCTCCGGTGGCTATTTGTTTATATTTCACCCCTCTGCATTTCCTTCTAGAATGCACGGCCTCAGAGAACAGGGACCTTGTCCGTCTTGATTAAACTGTTTATCCTTGGCACGCCGAGCACTTCGCATTGTATAAGCTCAGTGCATATTTTTGAATGAATGAAAGTTAGTTTGTCTTTTTACCATATCGTACCCTTTGTCTGCAGTTCCCAGCATTCACGGTGTATAAATATCTCTTACCAACCAGGGATATCCGGGCATCCTGAGTGGCAACATAAATGAAACTAATGTAATAGAAATCAGTTCTTTGTGTATCTTGGCATGTTTTATTCAGTTGCTTGGTTCAGCTGACCCCAAGGAAAGCTCTCAGACAAATTGAATGTGAACATAAGGATTTGGAAGCATTAGGAGGGAATAATGTGTAGATTTTCTGAAGGAGTCACTTGATGACACTAGTGCTGTGATCTTCACGTACGGTCAGCACCTAACGTGCTTTTTGTCCTCCAGGGTTTCTTCGTGTCGATCATCTACTGCTACTGCAATGGAGAGGTAGGTGCGAAGGGAGCCCAGTCCCCCACAATGGGGCCCGAAGCGCTTAGGGATCCCCAGGAGTCACAGGACAAAGTGGGCCACGGGAGGAGAGATGTTTTAATCATAAATTATTTTGAGAAAGCAAGAATTGATTTCAGTAAACTAAGGTCAATTCAGTTATAAACCCTGATATCAAAAACCAACTCCCTGGAATGCATATTGAGACCCGGAAGGACGCGCGGCTTCACATTCCAGTTCATGCTTGAACTTATTAATCGATTTCAAGGTCTATCAGAAACTCAGATATGTATGCTTGGACAAAATCGATTAGAACATTTTGACATTATTTTTTAAACTACCAGGTGGTGGTGGGACAGTTTCTGTTCGTCCAGGGTTGAGCTGTTCTTTTAGGGGAACATCGGCTCCCCCGGTTTCCATTCCCCCTGGGAATTCCCAATAAGCTTTCCCTGGAAAGGGGCGCTAGCAGTGGCGTTGACTCTCCAACTGAAGGAACAGAAACGAGCCCTACCCTATTGAGAACGCATCAGCAGGGCCTGCATTTCAGTGTGCAACCTCTTTCCTTTTCCTCCTTCAGTCTGCCTGCCTCTGCAAGGTGATGGGGTGGAGGGAACGTTTCACGTTGAGTCCCTTTCGTGCCATTCCTCAGCCACAGCTGCCACTATTTATCTCTCTTTCTCCTCCACCCACCTCCTCTTTTTCCTCTCCCACAAGTCAGATATTTCTATCGGCTGTATTTCCGCCTCCATTAAAATACTAACCTTGGCCCTAGCCAGTGTGGCTCAGTGGATAGAGTGTTGGCCTGCAGACTGAAGGGTCCTGGGTTCGATTCCGGTCAAGGGCACATGCCCAAGTTGCAGGCTCACTCCCCAGGAGGGGATGTGCAGGAAGCAGCTGATCAGTGATTCTCTCTCATCATGGATGTCTTTCTCTCCCTCTCCCTTTCTCTCTGAAATCAATAAAAATATACTAAAAAAAAATACTAACCTTGGACAAGTCCATTTTCCTCTCTGTAAGCCTCAGTTTGCTCATCTCCAGGAGTAACACCTGCCTTCAAGGTTTTTTGAGACCCAGAGGGAATATATATGCCAATCCCTGGCACACCGTGGACCCTTAATGGATGATTATTACTGTCATTGAAATCAGGGCAAACACTCGTCTCAGCAAGCTGCGGGGTCTCCCTGATGGTCTCTGATGCGCAATATGGTTCTTGTGGTTTAGGTTCAGTCTGAGGTGAAGAAGATGTGGAGCCGGTGGCATCTCTCCATCGACTGGAAAAGGACGCCCCCATGCGGCGGCCACAGGTACGGCTCCGTACTCACCACCATGACGCCCAGCACCAGCAGCCACTCGCAGATGGCAGCCAGCACTCGCATGGTCCTCCTCTCTGGCAAAGCGACCAAGACGGCCGGCCAGCAGCCCGACAGCCACGTGACTTTACCCGGCTATGTCCGGAGTAACTCAGAGCAGGACTGCCAGCAACACTTGATCCATGAGGAGACCAAGGAAGGTAACGGGAGGCAGGGAGAGGAAACTCCAGTGGAGGTGTCTTCCAGGCCAATGGAAGGTACCCGAGTCCCTGAAGGAATCAAAGGAGAAATAGAGGATGTTCTCTGAATCAACATCTCTGGCTTGAAAGAGCCGGTCCATCTGGTTGCCCAAGAGCTGATGCTCCAAGAGCTTGGCCATCATCCCTCTGCTTGAGCCCCAGAGCTGAAAATTCAGGCTTAGGCTGTTACTTGACAAAAATTGTCAGGCTACATGAGTTGGCTCCTATACATACTAAAGACACAAAAAGGAGAAGTGTCATTGATGTGGTTTATGACCTTGTTTTGACATCAGATTCTCTTCTAAATTGATGTGTGATACTTGCTCTGCGATTGTTCCTTTATCAGCTACTCTTGGGTAGAAAACATTTTAGTTGCTTGCCTATAGTTTTCTCTTACAAATACCACTCTAAGAATGATAGAGCTCATTTAGTATGTGTCATTTCCGTTTAGGAAATTAACACTCTCTTTTTTCTCTTTCTCCCCTGAATGTACTTCTATCACTGCCTTCTTTTTGCCGGTGTGTTAGGAGCCATTAGGATCTGAAAATGTATGTTGAAAGATTAAAGACCTAAGAACAAGTACACCCTGGAAAGTAAGTTAGCTGCACTTCGATAAGATTATTCGTTGATGACAGTTACACTTTCTGGGAAGAAAGGAAATTACTTAAAAAAGAATATTGCACATATTCCTCCTTTTGAATGCTTCCCCCTCTCCCCCCCATGACCAGCCACTTCTCAGGTCTTCGCTCCTTTGTAAACCTTGACCTGCCACAAGGCTTTCTGTCGGTGAGCTTGTGTCTGAAAACTACTTTTGTTTGTAGTCATTTCTATTGATCTCGAATCACACTGCTCCTATGCTTTTTTCCCCTGTGTTCTATTACTATATTCAAAATGGCATGTGGGATAAATTAAAAGTTTGTTGTAAAAACACATTGGGTCACTTTCTAAAGTTTTCTCTCAGCGTCTCAGTTTGTTTGGGGAACCAAGCAAATGCCCCTTCTCTGCCTCTGTGGACACCGGCTGTGACTCCAGGACTTGTCTGAACTTGACATTTCAATATGTTGCATTAGCAAAACATTTACTGAGTGTGTATCAGGTACCCGGCGTCCTGCTGGGTGTTTACAAGCACTAACTTATTTAACCCTCACGACAAACTTAGGGAGTCAGTCTTATCACTGTTACCCTTTTTCACACATGATACTGTGACTCACAGAGGCAGTGTAGGTTGCCCAAAGTCACACAGCTAGTCATTGACAGCATGGTTTTAGAACACTGACTTCAAGTCCTTTGTTCTTAACCACTGCTATACTGTCACCAATATAATGTCACCCATTAACCACTCAAGAAATTTGAATGAATTCTGTGTAGAGAGTGCTTCAGAAGCTCTTCATGTAAATGGTTTAGTCTGTGACCCTCAGGAAGTTTTCTGTGTTGTGAGGGAGACAGACACACGTGGGAAATGAAAATTTCACAGAGCAATGCATTTCCGGGTGAAATGACACAGGTCCAGCTGATCTGTCTCACTTTGCTGACTGATTCAACCAGCATGCGAATGGTGTCACGATGAGTAAGGTACTCATCTGCACACCTTCTTGACAAACATTGCACTCTCCGTGCTCTTACTTTCCTTCCTCCTCTTTGGCAGTGTCGGCCTTCCCTACCCTTCCTGTTTATGAAGGTGCCATTGTGCATATTTAATTAATTCGATTCACTTCTGTATTGTCACACCTCCACGTTGCTTCCCTGTTAGGAGAGAGCCATCCTGGTCTGAGCCAGAGAGTAAGTGCAGCTCCATTTCTAATTTTGTGCAAGGCTTTGTAAAATAAGTTAACCTCCCTTGTAGTTCAAGTTCTTTAAAGTGAAATTATATCTGTCTGCCTTAGAGAGATGATCTGATGATAAGAGAAATCACATACTGAAAGGACTTTGTAACATAAAAATGATTGCACACAAATATTTGGTTTGGATTGTTGTTACAGTTTTGTTTTCAGTTAAATTCCTTTTGCCCCATTATGTTATAAAAGACCTCATTGGTAATTGCAATATAAAAATTATTGGAATATGTAATAATTGTTAGAATAAATATATGTATATTTGATAATATGGGAAATACGAAGGGTTTTTACTTTTTTCTTTAATAATTTTATTGATTTTTTTAAAGAGAGAGAGAATCATTGATATGAGAGTAGAACACTGATTTGCTACCTCCTGCATGCCCTCTACATACCCCCCACTGGGAATCGAGCCCACAACCTGGGCACGTGCCCTGACCGAGAATCAAACCGGCAATCTTTCGGTGTTATGGAACGATGCCCAACCAACTGAGCGACACTGGCCAGGGCAAAGGGTTTTTACTTTCTAAGCCAACACCAAATTCTAAGACTAGACCACTACTTGTCTACATTAACAAGTACAAATAAAACCCTCAGAGCTACCAAGATTGTCCTTAAAGTTTAGTCATTCATTAATTCAACAAACATTTACTTCGAGCCTACTATGTGACAGACATTATGCTATGTGCTGGGGCCACAACAAAAAATAAGACATAATCTGTTCCCTCGAGAAACAAAGAGCCCCTCAGTTGCTAGGACTCTTGATCTCATCGTGTATACACATTTTTTTTCCTTCTAGGCTTTGATAATGTTTGCATCCAATTAGACAGTTTAGGATAATAAGTTACGCTAGTCTATTGATTTGTCAAGTAAAATATCAGGCAGTTATCAAGGATTGGCTGATCTAGATCTGAAGGTGCAAACTATTGGCTGATAAGCTAAGTTTGGTCTTTACTGTGTTACATTGGTCTGTCATTGGGTTGCAGTATATTATTGAGTTGCCAACATGGAAAATTTAAACGATTCCAATAAAAATCTTATTTTCTTAATTATGGAAATATCAGAGGACCTTATGTGACAACAGTCAGCGGTGGCTGGTGAAGTGTCTGGTGGCTGGTGGCTGGCCTCTTCAGATGGGACCGACGGGCTCTAGTATGCTCAGCGCCTTCCTGGCCGCGTCCAATTATTTCTGTTACCTTTCTGGCTCCATCCCCTGATCTAGACAATGCGCTTACATAGAGCTTCAACAAATTTTTCTAAAATATTCTTGGGGGGTGTGATATCCCATATAAATTTTCCTAATAAGTTAAGCAACCAAGTATTTTTATATGTAGTGGAATTTAACTTAAGTTTGATATAATAACAAATATGCTGTGTAGATGAGCCTATTCAGAGAAAAATTCATTCCACAAAGTCTGTGCTTTCAGATCCCGCCCACACTATTCAAAGCTTCACTTTCTAAGTCGTCACTCTGAGGTACTTATTGCTAATACAGCAGATATTTTTTTCCCTTTGGAAATACAGCAACTTTCAGATGCAAAAGGATGAAATGGATGGTATGCTAGGTTCCAGGGGTGTGTGAAGACAGCCTTATATGGATTGTTGACATGGATATTCCATTTTGATACCCTGTTTTTCCTGGAACCAAAAGAAAGTCTGACATCAGTGATAATAAATTTTCACCACCTAGTGTAACAGGTCCCATAGCTCTTACTGTCATAGCATTGTTTCTTTCTGCTCTTGTTCAATAACATGGAACACCTTTGCTTTGCAGGTTCTAAAGTTGTCAAAAAACCCCCCAAACACCTCCTCTATTTTTGAATCGTTGGAAGAAAACGAATAAGGTATGTATGAGTTGCAGTGTATTATTTACACCCAGAGGTTAATGTTATATGATTCAGAGGTGATCTCCCTTAGAGATTATGATAGGAAGAATAATGCACCCATCTTCACTCCCCCAGAACCTGTGACTATATTAGGTAATTTGCAAAAAGGAAAGTTTAATTGGAATTAAGGATTACTAATCAGGGAGATTATTCTGGGTTATCGGGGTGGGCCCAATATAGTAGTAACAAAAGTTCTGAGAAGGAGAAGAGGGAGGCAGAAGAGGAATTCAGAATGATGTTATAAGGGCTGCCACTGTTGCTGGCTTTAAGGTAGGGGAAAGGGCCATCAGCCAAGGAATGTAGGCAGGCTCCAGAAGCTAGGAAAAGACAAGGAAATGAATTCTCTCCTAGAGTCCTGAGAAAGGAATACAGCCCTATGGAGTGAGACCCTTGTTGGACTTCTAACACACAGAAATGTATAATAATACATTAGTGTTTTTTAAGCCACTGAGTTTGTGATAATTTGTTACGAAACCTATCAGATTTATATTGATTGCCTGTATGGAAAGAATTGTAACTGTTGATTAATTAGTCTTTGTAATTGTTTTTGTCTGATTGCTGCATAGAGATAAATTCTTGTGCCAGTGTTTATGGTATTTTATATGCTGCATTTACAGGAAGGAGTGTTCTCTAGCTTGCCATCTTCTTACCTAATAATAGACAAACATGTAAATTGACCATCCCTCTGATACACTCACCAGCCAATCAAGAGAGAATGCAAATTAACCCAACAAAGATGGCGGTTAATTTGCATACATAGGTGCCCAGTGGCCTGGGTCCTGGGAACATCATCGGCACCCAGGTCACTCCGAGGTAGGCCCTGTGTGGGCCCTGAGCAGCATAGGAAGGGCCTGAGCCAGGGGGCTCCTGGGCAGGGGCAGAGCCGGCCATCGGAGCTGTGAGGGGCCCCTGCCCAAGCCTAAAGCCTCCGCCAGAGGTGCTAGGCCTGGGTGGGGGGGGTGGAGCGGGTGATGAGAAGAGTCCCCTGCCCAGGCCTGATGCCTCTGGGCTGAGGGGTCAGGCCTGGGCGAGGGGCCTATCCGGTGATCGGAGGGTGATGGGGGTAGACACCTCTGGCCAAGGCATCAGGCCTGCACAGCGATCGGAGGGTGATGGAGATTGACGCCTCTGGCCGAGGTGTCAGGCCTGGACGGGGGGCAGAGCTGGCAATTGGAGGGAGATGGGGGTCCCCTGCCCAGGCCTGATGCCTGGGCCAGAGGTGTCAGGCCTGGGTGAGGGGCTGATCTGGTGATGGGATTGTGATGGGGGTCGAAGCCTCTGGCCAAGGCGTCAGGCCTGGGAGGGTCTGAGCCAGGGATTGGTGTGAACTACCGAGGAAACACCTTTTCTGACCGCTCATTGGCTAAGCTCCCTGTATGCCACTGGTAATATTCTTAGTAACTTGGCTAAAAAGAATCCAAAAAGGTGATCTAGGGTTTTTCACCACACTCCTGGTGAAAAAAATGAAGGTCCACTGCTGGAGGGCTAAGAAATGTCATAGCCTGCCCTAGCTGGTCTGGCTCAGTGGATAATGCCCTG